ATCCAAGTGAATCGAGAAAAGTCATCAATGAACAAGATAAAATATTTGTAGCCACCCATAAAAGGTAAGTGGTAAGGCCCCCACACATCAGAGTACACAATATTAAAAGGAGAAGAAGATCTTTTATTACTCAAAGGATAACTGTTTCTACAATGTTTTGACAGTTCACAAGACTCACAATGAAGACTGGACAAACTAATTCCCTTAAACAATTCTGGGAATAAATGGGTTAATGCAGAAAAAGAAAGATGACCCAAACGAAAATGACATAACATGATTCGACTGATGGACTCTGTAGATGTAGACCCAAAAGCAGTTTTTCCAAGTTGTTCATGGCACTGTCCAGGAGTATCCAACAGATATATTCCATTCGCCTCACGACCACTCCCAATCACCTTCTGAGACTCCAGATCCTGAAAAACACAGTAGGAAGGGAAGAATGTTACACAACAGTTTAATGACTTAGTTAGGCTACTTATAGATAACAAGTTTGTATTTAGTCTAGGTACATGAAGAGCAGAAGGAAGAACCAAGGAGTCTGTAGCCTTGATGGTTCCCTTGCCGGAGATAGGGGCAAGAGAGCCATCCGCTAGGGTGATTTTGTCACGTCTAGGAAGTAAATCATATGAAACAAACAAAGTAGAAAGGCTGGTCATATGATTAGAAGCACCAAAATCAATAATCCAAGGGATCCAACAATTACCTGAAATGGTTGTATGATTGGCAGAAGCCCGTATATCTGAATGAGCAAATGTAGAAGATGTTGAATTTCCTGGAGGGTTGGAAGAAGAGGTCACACCCTCTAGGTGACTGATCATCCTCCCAAACTTCTCATATTCTTCCTTCATAGCTGCTAACTGCTCACTAGCCGTCATCTCTTTAGTTTGCTATCTGTCACTATCTGAACCAATAGCAACATTGGCACTCCCTGCCTTTATATTATCAGACTTTTCTGAAACCGAAGTGGTAGGAGCTCAGGATGCAATTTCCAACACTTGTCTTTAGTGTGTTTTGGCTTTTTACAGTACTCACGAATAATCCCTTTCTTCCCTGAGCTACTTGGAGTCCTTGTAACCCCCTTGGGTTTCACTCCCATATTAGCAAAATGATCATTTAGGCCAGCCCCTTGGACCTGGACAAGTTTTCTGCTTTCTTCACTACTTTCCAAGGCATATGCTTGAGACAGTGATACACTATCATTGGATAAAATATTTTGCTTTGTAATGTCATACTCTGGATTTAGCCCTGTCAAGAACTCAAACACCCTATTTCTCTCAACCAAATTTTACTGATTGTGACCAAGTCAGATAATTAGTTTCATCCAGCTTGATTGTGGTCACAGCTAGTAGAAAGTCTACAGAGGCTCCCAGAACTTGTTTAGATTTAGCAACATGCTTGTTTTCAAAGTCTGAGGAGTTCATCTTCTTAAATACTTCAAAAATGACTTCAAACAACTTCGAATATCAACAAATGAAGACAGAACAAAAACTGTGTTGTGAGCTAACCTCTACGCAGTCGTACCAATAATCTGCATCACACCCAAAAGCTGGGAGAAACAAAGAAAATTCAGCCACTCCTTGTAGACTTCACAGAACACCAATCCACTTGATTCGATCTTCAAGAAGAAGAATGAGAAGGCCTTCAGTCACTGAGTGCCCAGGTCAAACTCCCTATGAGGCCCGCAATCAGATTTCTCCAGAAAATTAGGGTTTTGGGCAACACACTTGAATCTGTTAAGAGGACGAAAAAACCTGTCCCCTTCTCTCCAGAAACCACTAACAACTGGGTTGAAATAGGTTTATTTAACTATTCATACGATTCAGTTCTCCATACACACTGTGTATGGGAAAAAAAAAGGGAAAAACAAGCCTGCTCTGATACCAAGAAGAAAAACAACATTTTGAGAAGAAATGACTGTTTAGAAAGTTGCAAAAATTCAAAAGAAAGTAGTAGAAATCAGAGTTCAAGAGGAGAGAAGAAAAAGAACAAGGTGGTGGCAACTAGGATTCGGAGAGAAAGATTTTCCAACATAATCTCTTCTCTTACTCCCTTAATTCTATTTCATTAAGTTAAACTTTAGTAATTTACAGAAAAGCCCCTAATTGGGCAAAAAAATTTAAAAAACATAACATAAGAAAGAATAAAGCTCAGATTAAGGTCCATTACAGCAAAGAACATAAAAGATAAAAAAGGATAAGCAGCCTATGGGCCATTCGGCCCATCTTCTCTACAATATATAATAAAAAATTAGAAATACATATAAAATATTATATTATAAATGATAATATATATACTCGTTGGTTTGATTAACCACCAGTTTTTTATATTGATTAACCGAAACTGAACCATAATTTTTGGTTCGGTTTCATTGGCTCGATTCAGTTCTTGGGTTTTTCTTGCTCACCCCTATCAAATAGGAAGATTCCCTATGCTACAAAGCTTAAGGATATTTTTACTAAATAATGTTAACCATTCTTTCTATGCTCAAAAGGTTTATTTTAAACATTTGGCAAGCTAGTACTGAGGTTCTTCACTAAATGACCTGACTTAGAAATCCACTGCAGGAAAGAAAAATAAGTTACACTGGATTCAGCATTTCCCTTGGTTTATCAAAACGAAGCATGTTAGAAAGAAAGAACAAATAATTAACCTAGTAAATAATGGGGCTTGTGCATACCTGAGCAGAATTGGAAAAGGAATATAGTAAAGATTGGAAAAGGCATTGGTAGCACTGGAAATACCCCCAACCATCGGATTGGAATTACTGCAGAGATAAAGCTGCAAATAAAAAAAAAAAAGATAGAAGCTGGTCCCTTCCCATCTAGTCTGAACACTGTGTCCTTATACAGTCAGATGCAGACTGCTATACAAAACAATTAGAAAGGAAAAAATAATATATATAACAAGTATGAAAGTGATGGTTCAGAAAGAAATAACAAAGAAGCGTCTAGTTGGGGTTTACTAGTGTGATCTGTGATGATAAAGTGCTGCATCTGCTTTTGCGTGTGTTGAAGGGGCATGTAGCTGAACTGAATGTCTTATTGCAGATGCACCACTTATTAATTAATGGCTGAATGGCATGTTAGCTTGATTACTGTACTCCTGAGTATATATTAAGAGGCTTCAACTTCAGCCTTCAGGTGGATTTAGTACTGAAAAGCCTTCAAGTTTAGAGCCTTAATGGCTGAATGGTTGATTTCTTCACACTTAAAATTTTCCCTTAGTTGTATAGCATTTAACGTTGGAAAAGATGGCAACATTAGGAAAAAAAAAATAATGCATGGTTCAAATGAAAAATATGTACATTTTATTTTATTTATTTTATATAAATCCAAACTAACAGTCTAATTGCACGCGCTCAACATAGCAAACAGAAATTTCAACGAGCAGGAAGAAATAGAAGAAAGAGAAAGGAAAAGGAATAGAGGTTGTTTTAATTTGGGGATTAACTAGCGATCTGAAAATGAAGCAATATCATAAAAAGTAATTTAAATGACATTGGTTGGTTCAGTTGAGGCAACCCTGTGTATGTATGGAAATTAGAATTATATATATAAGAGATAATTTAAAGAATAAAATTAGAATTATATATATAAGAGATAATTTAAAGAATATAAGTAGAGGGGAAGGGGAGGAGTAGAAGAGGAAGGAAGAGCAGAAGATGCAAAGCAATTAGTGGGGGGTCAGGGTGAGGGACAGCATGCTTGGTCCCTTTGGCTTTGAGGTGTGGGAAAAATATGGGGAATGGAGGAGCGTGTGAAATAAAAATTCATTTGTTTCCTTAGAATACAACAAATATGTCGACTCTGCAGGGTGGGTGGATGAGGCTACATGGAGATAGGATTCAAGGCTATAACAGATATGGGCTTCAACCTATATACACGATTCTCTCTCTCTCTCTGATCATTGAGTATCATTCTAGTTTGGCTGTTTATACCCGTCCAATTGAGATATTGTGCTGGGTTTCTTGTATGATTTTATTTTGACTGGACATGGTTTAATCACGCAATAGATTTGAGGGTAGCCTGCAATATGTACTTCCATTCTAAGTACATTTTATTTTAAACATCAATAACTTCTCATGTTCCTTGAATTTGAGTCTGAGAGTTGAGAGCTCCCCCCTCTACTCTCCCTCTACCCTTTTTCTTTCTAGTTTAGGGTTGGGGTGGTCTCTATGGATCTTTGGTTTCAACAAGCAGCACCCATTTTAATTTGAGTTAATTAACAAATGGAATCTAATGGCCCCAAAGGAAATCTCCACCTCATTGGAGGCTGACTTGGCATGTCCAGACTGTCCAGTTGAGGAAGCAGGAGGGCCAGTCTCATACCTAACCCCACCCATCTATTATATAATTATACTACTTGGGTAATGCCAAGGCTGTGCCTCGGACCACATTGAGTCCAACTCCATCACATGCTTGCTTCTTTGATAATTTCAAAACCTGTATCACATCATGATAACCTGGACCCCACCTTGACCCTCCTCTACACTTTTAACATTGCCCCATTAGCTCTCATTCTTTTTCGGTTTTTCCTCAATGGACCCATTTCAATGCCAACCCAACTGCCAGCTTGTCATAAATGGTGGCAAGTTCTCTCAAACCCGGTTTGGTAAAAACAGCAAAAATGGATCTTGTTGGTTATTAAACTAACAAACCGCGACATACAAGGAATTCTAGCAAACAAGTTAATGCTATTCTTGTATTCTTCAGCCTACAGCGATCTGCGTGGTGCTCTCGCGACGGTGGGCTGCAAGAAAAAGCTTGTCGTCTTTTTTAAGTTTAATGGGCCCCATCTTGTTCTTGTCTGTAGGGGGAGGAAAACCAAGAGTTGCATTAACTCGTTGTATACTATAATTCCTCCTTATAAATCAGCAATATTCTTTTTGTAAGTTGTTGCATTGCATGTGTGGAGATGGGGGTGCCATTGTACGCACGTGTGCCTCTTGTCTATAAATACGCTTGAGCAGTTTCACTCAAAACTCAAAAGAGAGGTAGACTGTGAGTAGCGGATATTTTGTATTGAACTCTGGTACTTTACTTTGTAATTCATGGGGTGGGTGTGAAGGTTGTAGCCTTGTTGCCTTGTAGGAAGAGATGAAGAGAATTGGAGCTTGATATCAGTACTGCGACAGTTGATATCCATATATTGGGGTTGGGGCTATGGACGTCTGAGTATAGAGGAGGAAGGGGCCGAGGGAGGAATTATTTCAAGATAGAGGGTAGCAGGTATTCACACACACAGAGAGAGAGAGAGAGAGAGAGAGAGAGAGAGAAAGAGAGAGAGAGGAAGAAAGGATGGAGACACAGAATGAAATGAAGCAGTCCAAATTCAAAAGGATTTGTGTCTTCTGTGGGAGTAGCCATGGTAAGAAGAGCAGCTACCAAGATGCTGCTATTGAGCTTGGGAAAGAACTGGTAAATGTTTTTCTTCTTTTTACTCTGTTTTATTTTTTCCTCTTTTTTCTTTGCGCATTTTAATGGTCTTCTGTGTTTTTCTTGGCATGGTTTTACAGGGTTTCAAATTGGATTCTTGACATGGTTTTTTTATCATTGCACTTCGTCATCAAGCTTTTTTCTTCTAGTTTTCTTTGTAGAATTTTGGTTTTATTACTACTTACTAGAAAGCCATGAAAATTGTTTCTAAATTTTCTTCTTCCTTCGCTTTTGTTTTCCTATTTATACAAACGGGGTCATGAGCTTTTGTTTCAAGCTTGGTTCGTTCAACTAAGCTCTTATCTCTCCTTATTTTTCTTGAAGTTGGTGAACTTTTTTTTGGAAGACTATTTGTCTGCTCTTATTCTGTTTTGTACGCTCTTCTCTGCTTCGTGCTTTCTCAACTGGTTCAAAACAGAGCTCGCCTGCTCGCTCCCCCCCCCCCCCCCAACACCATTACGCACCTTATACACAAGTAAACTGCTCGCACGTACAGAAGCACAAATGCACATATAATGTTTGCATCTTGACTACTATCTTTAAAGAGTTGAAAAAGTACTCAAGCATCCTGCTGTATGTTGCATTCCATTTCCCCAGTAGCTTCTCTCTTTACAGATAGAAATGTAGATAAGGAGATCTCAGATTGATGCACGGACATGTTCTATTAAAGTCTTAATGAATGCCACTGAAACCTCTCTCGCCTTGCCTTTTCTCTCTTTCCTCCTTTGATGGCTTAAACAAATGATTTCGTTCAAATTTGGCTTAAATTTGTTTGTTTTGTTTGAAGGTGTCAAGGAACATTGATCTGGTTTATGGAGGGGGAAGTGTGGGCTTGATGGGTTTGGTTTCACAGGCTGTTTATAATGGTGGTCGGCATGTCATTGGGTGAGCTAGCTCATTTATCCACGACTTCTCCACAATACATAAACAAACGCAAATTTTACATTCATTGGGTTTTGGTTATTTATTTATGATCTTCATAAAAACTGAATTTTGTCATGTTATTGTCTTCTTCCAGAGTTATTCCCAAGACGCTCATGCCTCCAGAGGTATGTCTGCTATAACTGCTTAGAAAAAATGGGTAATCTCTAAAGCTTTTCGTTTCTTTCTTATTAGATAAAAAGAAGGCAGAAAGAGTACTCCTTTTCCCCTTGGATGGAGAGAGAGAGAGAGTATTTTCTCTTTCTTCCATGGATGGGTTCCTTTTATTTTATCTTGCTTTTTTTTTTTGGTGGTCTTTTGGTACTTCTGTTATTTCTAGTGTCGTACCCCCCCCCCCCCTTCTTTTCCCTTTTCTTTTTCTCCAGATCTTGAACGATGAAGAAAAGGAGAACAAGGGGATAAGCTTTTGAATGGCTTTTAAAACTAATCTGATCTTCACATGTTGAATTGATGAAATTATCCATCATATCACTTGGTTATTTGTTTTTTTGGGTATTATGGTTATTTTTGGGTTTACATCTTCTGATTGATAGCTACAGAAGCTACTTTTTTTATTGGCCTCTAGCGCTTTATTTGGGACCTCTGTTTTTTCCCTATTTTTTTCTGGTTGGTTGTTCTCTTTCTCATTTTTATCCTTGCCGCTTTGTGCTTTTTTTTTATCTTCCTTTTCTCTATCTTTTGTTTTCTTCCTGAAAGACTTTATCCTTCTGTTTTTCTTTTCCTTCTCTTTATTGTATTTTTATTTATATCTACATTTCTATTTTGTTGTTCTTTTTACTTCTCGGCGAGGAATTTCTGAGTTGAGGATTTTGATTAAAGACCATCACCATTGCATCATTCATCTCTCTCTCTCTCTCTCTCTCTCACACACACACACACACACACAAATACTGTTACTTGATTTTCTTTTTTCTTGCAACCCATTGCAGATATGTGGTGAAACAGTAGGGGAAGTGAAGGCAGTTGCAGATATGCACCAAAGGAAGGCAGAGATGGCTAGACGGTCAGATGCCTTTATTGCATTACCGGGTTAGTGTAAACCCTGAAAAATTCTCAGCGAATACTGACAATTAACTCTCAAGGCAACGCAAGAATGATGAGAGTCCGGTTGTCCCACTGTGTTTTTCCTTTTTGAAATATCACATTATTCCATACATTTGATTTTCTAACCATCACCACTAAAAACCAGTCTCCAAAAAATTTAAAAAAAAAATCCATCAATACAAATCAAACATCATCGTTCTCAATTGAAAGAAACAAAGACATGACATTATTTCCTAAATTGGTTTTGGTAATAATCTAAGTTGGGTCCTAGAGTTAAACTGAACACATCTCTCCATTGTCATGTTCTTAATTTTCGCCTAATCAACATGGTCATGTTTTCTTATTTTTTTCTTTTTGTTCTCAAAGTGAAAGAATATACTGCTAGTGCAAAACTTTTTTTTTGGTAGTAAAAGTGGTAATCAACTAAACAAACTAGAAAATACAGCTACCAATAGAACACTCAAAAACTCAAAAAAAAAAAAAAAAAAAAAAACAACAGCACTAAAAATACTACTACAAAGCACCAGAAGAGAAGACTAGCAGAATTAGAAGGGGAAAGAGCAGAGTAAGTGCTCAAACACCTTTTAAGTTGCAGTTTTGCAAAACGGCTCTTTCTGACTTCAGAAAAAGGGAAAAGTATTGGTTGTTTCTTAATTTACTCAGTCATCCTTGATGTTTTGATAAATCATCTTTGTTTGTTTTTTCTTTTTGAGTACTGTAAGTGCTCAAACACCTCTGGAGCTCTAAAACAGAAAGGCTCTGTTTGACCTTCCAAAGTTGAAAAGAGAAAAAAAATAAAACAATTATAATAGAACGTACATTGTATAATTTATATTGGATAAATTTTAAACTAGAAGTGGCAAGATATTATCTCTGTTCCTGTTCTATTTGTTACTATACATGGTTGGTGTGAAAGCAACTGTACTGAGCAGTGAGCATAGATTTTCAGAACCGTTTCGAGCGCTCTCACGGATCCCGAGATCCATGATTAGAGAGCTACCCATCAAGCCACTATGACTGACCCATCAACATCAGAAACTGAATATCAGGGCTGTAAAGAACTCTATTTCAATGGTCAATCTGACCTTTTTTCCTATTTCAATGAAATAGTTTTGCATTTTTTATTTTATTGATACTCTGTACTCTTGCACTCGCCAAATGAAAAGAAAGAAAAACACATCCACACTTTTATCAAATAGACTTGCCATTTGCCAACTATCACCCACAGGTGGCAGGAACAAGGTAAAGGCTGATGGGCAGGGGTAAACAGATTATTTTAGTATTCTTGGTGCAACCCTCTTGTGACTCTTTCCATTTTCAGGGGATTATCTTCTGTACTCAGTGACTTCTCCAGAGGTCCTGAACCAATAAATCCTATGCCCTGGGAAAATGAATGGATAAGAGTTGTGGCTAATCTGTTTGGATCTTATTCAAAGTATTAATTTATCCTAATTCTTAATAAAACGGACAGAGCACAAAATTATTTCTTGAGTGCACTCTGGTAGATTGAAGAAATTATATGATGTACATGCAGGCGGCTATGGGACTCTTGAAGAGCTACTTGAAGTGATAACCTGGGCTCAACTAGGCATACATGATAAACCGGTAAATTTTGTTTTCTGCACTGTGATCAAATTGTCCTGTCTTCTTTAGGTCCAAAATTGGTTGGTATACTTTAGCTATTTTAGTCCTTCAAACCCCAATTCTCTCTCTCTCTCTCTCTCTCTCTTTCTCTCTCTCTCTCACACACACAGTAACTAAACAGATGCTTGAACATTGAAGTTACAATGTCAAATTTTCTGAACTTCGAAGGTAGGATTACTGAACGTTGACGGTTACTACAATTCATTGCTGTCATTCATTGACAAAGCTGTAGAGGAAGGCTTTGTTAGTCCAAGTGCACGCCATATTATTGTATCAGCCCCTACAGCGAAGGAACTAGTGAAGAAATTGGAGGTAATATTTCTTCAACCTTTTATATCTGATCTATAAGATAGAGCTACATTCCTTGGTTGTGCACTTGTGCATCCCTTGTGATTACAATCTGCTGTGTCCTTGCAACATGAGCACAATTCATGGCATGCATGCATAAATAACTAAATACACTTACAATGGGGAACATAGGTTTGTTCTTGTAGGAAGACATGTACTTAGACTTGTCTTTCATGGCTTCTTGATGTGGATATCTTTATTTCTTGGTGTAAAGATCACAGTGACAAGAATTTTCTATTTCACGGTTGCAGGAGTATTTTCCTCGCCATGAAAAAGTTGCATCACAGTTGAGTTGGGAGATGGAACAGCTCGGCTACTCTTCCAAGTGTGATATCTCTTGATAAGGAGCATGTGTTTGTGGAGGAAAGGAACTAATTTGAAAGACCAAAGGAAATCCACAATGATGAAAAATCATTTTGTAGAAAGCAAATGGCCTCAATATATGAAACTTCATTATTCCCTTTTTGTTTTAAACCTGGTTCATCTGTGTTCTAACTCTAAACTATTTTGGGTATATAGATGGGAAAACTGCAAGCATATTTTGAACAGTTATACCATGTTAATCACAAAAAGAATACCCCTAATTTGCATGAATTACAATTGGCGATGCTTCAACGATAATTCAACCACCTTAATTCCAATAAAGAAAATAAAGCGTTGTAAAGAACTAAAGATGGATTCGTGTATGTGTTCCTTGGAGGCTTACCCCATGATTGACGAATGACGATTCCTTGCAATCTTGTTAATGTGGATGAATAGAAAAAGGTCTCCATGTTTTGTCGGACTATGTTGAGGAAACAGCTGCAAGTATGCAAGAGTAATCTCCATATTCACCTACTACTGCTAGACTGAAACAAGATACCCATTTGATGGAATTAATCCAGTATATCAAGTTCAGTAGCTAACGACGCTTTTCTCTACCTCTTCGGCAAATAAATTGATCACAATGTACAAAGGGGTATCAATTGGATTGGATTTGGTCCAATCCGATCCAGTCCAATGTGAGTCCATTATAAATGGATCAGGTCCAATCCAGTCCAATGAATATTCTGGACCATTTTGGACGGTCCAATTCAATGTCTGGACCATCCAATCTGTTCAAATTCATTTTGATTTTGATTGGTTTCAACCCAAACCTGGTCCATTGACACCTATATTCTTATCTTATATCAATGTACCAGATATTGGCTTAATCCAACCCAATCCAATATAAATTTATTACTGACGGACCAGGTCCAATCCAATTCAATCTAATATGTCTTGTTGGTCCGTCAAATCCATCCAAATTGATTTTGGAGTTTGGACTGGATGGGGTCCAATCCAAAACCCGTCTATTGACACCCTTATGCAGAAGCATGCCAACGTCATGCAAATCATGCTAAACAGCAGATCAGGTAACTGTTTTCTGAAGTATACAACAACAAATTGAATATAGAATATTCCATACCATTCAATCGTACAGGGACAAATGGACAATCCATGAAGTGAGAATGAACGATATAACTGTGTATTAGTTATTAACATTTCTTCCTCAGTTCCTCTCTTCAAAGTAAAGGTTAATTTCCTTGTTCCCTCCCCCACTCGGGCCACTTCATCCCACCCACAAGGCCACAACACACACATACAAAAATAAAAGGCTATTTCATTCTGGTTATTTATTTATTAATATATTTTTAACTTTCTGAAGTGGAATTTGAGGCTACTGCTTCTTAATATCTGAAACTGAGATCCAGTAGACAAGATTGTCAGAATTCAGAAAGCGTAGTTTCATAGATCTCCTTTACTGTTTCTTTTTATGTTCTACAAATTATTGTGAACTTCAAACGACAAGTGAAAACAGTTAAAAACGTTTTTGCGCGTACCTACGGTTAACAATGAAATAAGAAACCAGAGCAAGACAACGGTAGGAAGGCCCGAGTGAGTAGCAGTTAATGGGGTGGGGAGGAGGCAGGTCTGTCATGCGTGAAGATTGAAGAACAGACAGACAAGACAACAGATAGCGGGGAATGGAAGGGCCGGTGCTGTCTATTGGTAATAAGGAAAACAGGGGCCACCTGCTCTTATTAATTGAAAGGGGAAGATATCAGAAGACCATGCATGCCTCTGTCAATCTCTGGCCCTGCTGTTTTTATTTTAGTATGCTTTTCTTACAGCACAAGTTTAATTTGTTTATAATTAATGGAACCACAACAATAGGTGGCTGGAGCCTGGAGGAGGGTGAGCCGGTGAGGAGTTAGTCTGATAACCAAATTGCATCTCAAGTTTCAACCTTGAAACAGTAATTTAATTTAGAAAGAACAAAACACTCCTGCCATGATCTAGAATATGAAAAAAAGAAAGGGAGGATCGACTCCTCTGAAAGAGAATGCGTTCTCTGTAGCACCAAGGTCAGCAGAGCATGCGCTGATTTGATTTGATTTGGTTATTTCTCCGTCTAATCCCTATCTTTCTAATTCTAGTATTCCTCACTGTGCCTCGCCTTCACAAATACGAAGGGGAACACTCTGTGCTGCGAAACAGAAAGCCACTTATTTCCACTCTCCTTTGTGATCCCGACCGTCCCACATTCAACATGGCACAAATTACACACGCTAGGACAGTACGCAATCCGGTATTCGGGCTTTGATCTGCTTATCCTTTCAATCTTGAACCAGTTCCTGACTGTGGAGGGGCCCGGGTTACCTGGTTGGCCTTTGAGCGTCACATACCTTGTTTGGCTATGTGATGACGATGAGGACCTGTCGGCCGCCTCCACCTGCCAGACCCTCTTTATCCCCAAGAACTCAACGTTCAAATCAGTCTCCTCCTCTATCCTTCTTTCTTCCAATGGTGTCTCTCTGAGGTAACGAATTCCAGCAAACTCTTCCAAGGAATTCAATATTAATGCCGGGGAGAAAATCAAGGGGGCACCGACGTTCATGTCGTGGGAGTGTTGTTTCACAGTGGGGATCTGAGACTGAGAGGTTGCATTTCTCCGCTTACCAATAGACATCCCACCACCGCCACCTCCCCGGATGGCCGAAACGATGAATATTCTACTCCAGCCTGGAGCTGATTTCCATCGGTGTCAAGCACCGCTTCATGACGAGAACTGGACCCAGCAATGGCCTCCCTCTGGAGAATCGAGGCCAAAAACAAGAGCCCAGAAATTAAAAATCTATTCCCCATGATTTAGAAATTGAGAGGTTGGTGTTAGTAGCTCTTGGAGCTCTGTCTATCTGCGAGGCTCTGAGCTTCACTGTCTGAGGGGAGTGTCTGCATTACAGCCCCCATATATAGTCACCATCGAAGTTTCAAGTTGCCAAGTCTAAGTGATTGAAAACGGTTTTTTCTCCTCCTGAAGTAACGGATCAACGGACTCTGTGTCCAAGGCACATTAATCGTCTAACAATCAGTTCAAGTGATACAATCGGTCGATCAATGCACCATTTCCAAATTCCAATTGTCCATGACAGTCAGAGACTCTGAGATGTTCATGTAACTCACTACGAGTGGCAAGTTCGAAACTGGGTTAGGTCATGGCCTCATGGGTGTTACCAGAATTATTAGGCCCAAAATCAGAAATCCTATACAGTTGGGATAGGTGCCAAGTCGGAATTGATGTTAATTCACGGGCGGGCATTGATGTATATACCGGAGATTTTTTACATTTTAAATGTTTATAACTCTCTAGTGAAATTCAAAAATCTGCATTAAGCCTGTCCGTGCTTTCCATTTTCCATTCTCACCGAGTTTCAGTCACCACTGAGACATTGACTAATTGAGGCCTTTTGGTTTTGGGTATAGCCGTTAAGTTCGGTTTTGTTTGGATTAGCTTTTGCTTTTTGAGCTTTGGACTATGAAAAATAAAACTGAGTTCAAAGTGTTAAGAACATTTGCTAAGAGCTGCTTTTAGAAACTTGATAATCTTAAGCCAAAACGTTTGTGTTTTTGGGCTTTGAAAGCACAAGTCCCAAAAGCCAACGTTTGCAATGGTTTGTTTAATGTTCAAATCCTGAAAGTAAGCCGAAAAGGCGCTTTACATTTAAATTCTAGGGAAAATTTCTTGGCTCAAGTCACAATTTGGTCCCCAAACTTTGAAATGCAATAATCTAGTATCCGAACTTTGGAAACGTGGCAATTTAGTACCTGTCGTTAATCAGTCGTTGAGTGGCATGTGAAAAGATACAAATGCCCTTCAAGTGTTATTTAATTTTCTTTCTCAACTATCCGCTAAAATCAGAAACAACCATCAATTTTTTCATTTTGCAATAACACTTTTGTCTTTTCTTCTCCTCGGAATATTCCATCATCTTCATATCAAAACCAAAACAATTTTTGGGGAAAAGTTTTCCTTTGACTATTATACTTATCCAAAAAACGGAAAAAGAGGAATGTCTCCAGCCACCATCACTGATCTCTCTCTCAAGTATCAAGACAAAGCTTCTAGTTCTTATCCTCTTTTCTACCTATAGGAATAAAATATTATTGTATTAAGTTAAAAAATAAAAATAAGTTGTATAAAACCTAGAATTTTCTGTTCTTGGCAAAGACTTGCAACGACTTTGGGAGAAAGGCAAAGTCGTTGCAAGGGTTTGTGACAGAGCTTGAGCTCTGTTGCAAGGGTTTTGGTGTTTGTGACAGAGAGCTTGGGCCCTGTTTCATCTTCTTGAGGAAGAAGATGATGAATAGTATGTCTTATTTTCAAGGGTAGTTTTGATATTTTCAAGGAAGAAGATGAGGTCATGTGATATACATAATTGACAGTCTATTAATGGCAAGTACTAGATTGTTGTGTTTTAAAAGTTCCAGTATTAGATTCACATTTTAAAATTGGCGACCAAATTGTCACTTGAGCCAAAGTACAGAATACTGATTGGGAATTTCTCTAAATTCTATTATAATGTTCAACTAACATTTGTGTCACATGTATTTGCGCACCTTCCAAACGCAGCCTTAGAGTTGGGATGCCCTTGGCCCTTCTGGACAGAATAAAGCCCACTTTGCGGTCCAAGATTAATGTTGACCAAATCCTTTATATCACTTTAACATTGTTTCCTAACATGTTTTGAAGTAAGATCTTAGTAGTCATATATATTTTTTTTATTTTATTTGTGAACGAAACATCGTTTATATATAAGAAAAAATGTATCAGTACCACCCACTTCTAATGCTCCTAATATTTCTCAACTGTTTTTTTTATTAATAATATTTCTCAACTGTTCGACCAAAAAATTATTTTACCACTGGAAATTGAAAAAAAAAAGAAGAAGAAGAAGAAAAGAAAAAGATATTACCGTTCTTTTGTGGGTTGTTAGGTTTTTTATAAGCTAAGCCCAGACCAACATTGATACAAGAACTGGATTGGGCCAAACCTGAATGCATCTTCAGTCCATGGTCCAATCCCGGGCCTAATTTTCTAGACCAACTATTAAACAGCCCAGGGACAATCAAATAAACAAGCTTAACGAGCTCAGCTCTTCAAGGCCGCTC